TGAGAAGACCATGGGGAAAACCGCTAAACAAGTTGATGCTTCCCTCTAAACAGGAAAAATACCCTTGGTCACTTGAGGGCCGGGAATATTGATCAACCTCCCCATATATACATATATATATATATATACACACAAAGGGCCCTGGCATGCGGCAGAGCGTCCCCTCCGACGGCAATCGTCTCCACTGGTATCCTCCTCCGCCCCAAACACCAGGCCCCGCATCCTGGCCCTGCACTGCGGTCCCCAAACCCCTCGCCCGCTTACGTGTACAAGTCTACCCCCAACCAAGCCTAAACTAACCTTAAATGACCCTAACTCATCCTAAACCCCCATAACCGACCCTAAACCTAACCAATCCAAGACTTAGCCAATCCTAAACCAACCATAAATCAAGCCCATCCGCCCAAACCAACCCTAAACCAAATCTAAACCAAACCTAAACCAATCAGAAACCAAGCCCAATCAACCAAACCCATCCGCCCGAACCAACCCTAAACCAACCCTAAACCAACCCTACCTTATCCTAAACCAACCCTAAACCCAGCTTAAACCAAACCTAAATCAAGCCCAAACAAGCCAACCCAGGCGTCCAAAACAACCCTAAGCCAAGCCAAATTCACGCCTAGTCAACCCGATGCTAAACCAACCATGAACCAACCCTAAAACCAATCCTAAACAAATCCTCAACCAACCCTAAACCATCACAATCTCCACGGAACCACAGCACCGGCGTATGTCAACAAACCCGTACTCAACTTGACCATGACCATGGGGACCTTGCTGACTTCAACCATATATACATATTAATATATATATATATATATATATGTGCTAACCCCTCCCCCCCTGCAAAAGAAAGAGACAACAAGACACCGAACAACACAAAAAACCAACAGACTCCCTGAGGTAAAGGTAGCTGGCAAACATTCTCCCCCAGGAAGCCGATTCATGTCCACCAACTACTTCCGGTGGGTTCCCTTTGTTCATGTCGAATGCTTCTCTCTGAGTGCCAAGCATCTAGCTCCTCCAAAAATGCCGCGCCAGCATGCCACGATGCCTGGCTCTAGAACTCACGGAAACTACCGCCAACCGCTCATTGCCTGACTTGAAACAACTAGAACACAAAAACAAACAACAGAACACCAAACAGAAGAGTGCACGCCGATACAACCTGGACTTCGAAACATGACATGTTGGTGTTTTCCCTTTTCTGGAAATACCAATGGGGTATTTACTAACATCGCTTTGTTTTTTTGTAGGCAGAAACAAACACTGTTTCTGTTTTTGTTAGCGCAATAGTTGCACATCATCCTTCTAGGGGCACCTTCCTTCTTTCTAGAAAACCTCCGGAAACCGAGGGAAAACGGATCGGGTTTTTGGAAAGAACGATTGAAAAGAATGGAAAAGGAATCAACCCCTAGAACCACTCCCCCTCCCCCCCTCCCCCCCTTCCTCACCTCCCCCTTAGAATTCTGGAAATCTCTAAGATCTAGCAGTTATCCAAACCCTGCAGCTTCAACGGTCGGTGGCTGGTCTCTGCTTCTCTCACCTGCAGGTAATTACTTGTAGGTGGAGTCTGGCAATCCCCTGACAAGAAGTGAGTGGATTGGCCCAAAAGATCTCAAAATTGTCTTCCCAAAAAGCAACAAGTCCTGGAATCTAGGGAGTGAGTCGCTGCGAAACCCAAAAAAGGACTGCACACAAGCCGCTGCGCATGCGGCATGCTGACAGGAAATCCAGGATTCGAATTAAAGCAACACATGTGCAATGGCGATTGGTGTTGCTCCTGTTCATGTACACTGACTGGTACCGGACGCAAGAAAGCAAAATAAGGGGCCGAGTAGTTCAGCTCAATTGAAACTTTGATATGGGCTGAAGGACATGTTCCAACGTAGGGCCCTCCAAATACTTGTTGCTATTCTAGTCTCTACGCATGAAACTAGTTTTTGTTCAACGCAACATCTGCCAGCGATCTTAGATAAGTCAGATAAGTTACGTGAAACAGCTCAAGTCAAACCAGCTGTTTGCAAGCGCGACTCCCGTTAGGCTTCATCTCTGGCAGCCTGTTACCCACAAAATATTGACACCCGCTCATCGACAAGTTGGTAAAAACGGGCGGGGGACAACTGACCTATGGCATACCTGATATTAGCCAAGCCACTTGATAAACAATAACAGTAGACCGTTCAAACATAGAGCGCATCTTTCAACACATCACCATACCACCAACCATTCACAGCACTCATCGTCTACCATCCTACCGACTCCCTTGCGAAGAGTTGCGAGCTCTTAAGTGCCGGGGCTCTTTTTAGCCGGTGAAATCTGTCGAACATTGTGGCCTGGTGATTGTTTTGCCCTGAAGAGAAACAGCTTCAACATTGTAGCAGTGGAAGGGAAGACTAACACCAAGTTTATCAGACACTAGATCCTCCAGTAGAGAGCTCAGTATAAGGTTGCCCTTTCTTCTGTAGTTTATTTGAGTAGGGGAACCCTCCCCCAAAAAAGGGTAAAAGGGCACTACTGGGCGACCTAGGACATGAGCATTGTAAACCATGCTGATAAAGCGCCTTTGCGTCGGGCAAAACAACATCAAGTTTGGCCTCTTCCCTTGGGGCAGAGCATGCCATATCTGTACAAGGGCCACGTGTAGCCAACTTCAGGCGCCCAAACCCCCATTGACTCTTGGTACCAACATGGCGATGAAGGTTTATATGGGCCTTATAAGCCCCAGGAAACTGGGCCAATGCGTCTACACAAATTGCCAATAGGGGTTTGGGCGCTGCCCATTTGGCCAAAACCGCGTACGGCGGAACCGCACACCGAGGTGTTGCCCGTGACAAACAAAAAAGTCGTGATCTCTTCAGCATGACTCCTGATCTCCCGCCCCAAGACTTGGTTGACGTTGGAAGGGGAGCAAAAATCTAAATTCTAGCAGTTTAGGTGGGATTTCCCACTAAACCACAAGAAGCAAAGTTTCCCAACAACAACCATGAAGTGGCTAAGGTTGCCCCTTTGTGGCCCAAACGCGGAAGGGAACCCTTTGCATTGTTCAATGCGTTCTTTGACACACACCCATTTGGCGTGGCTTTGAGAGAAACCCGTGTGAAGTGGCAGGCGGACAGCAACACTTTGCGCACAGCGGGCACATGTGGAATCAACGCTTCGAGGGCCATTTGATAGGTCTACCGATCCGCATACACAAGTAAACCAAATAGACGATGCCAGCTTTGCTGCCAAACATGATTGGCTTCCGTTGTAGTTTATAACCATCTTGAACTTCCAAAGCACGTCTCTTACGCCAATCCTACCGGTTCTCGACTTCCTTCCAAGCGTGCAGTGTATGTCAGAAACAATCTTGTCATGGAGAAACACGCACCACCACAGGGCGACACGTCACGTTCTCGATAAGCTCCAAGCTCTTGACCAATACAAGTGGGTCTGTATCAGGAAATACGCACTACCTGCAAAATGTCCGAGTGTACCCAATTCCAGGAGGGACTGACAGTCCATGCAAATTTCTCTTTAGGCAGAGCAAAGAGATTCTTCCTGGGGCTGCAATGCGTTGCCTGAGGTAAAGACATCTTCCAATTTCAACGAGGGTTAGTTCATTCGCTCGCCTCGGGCACAAGGCCGAGGCAAGCAAAGAAACGTAGCGAAGGTGTCGGTTCCACCGCAGGTCTAGAAGATCGCAGCCAGGGATCTGGGGGACATCTAAGACCGTCGTGGGATTGTCAGCTCCAAGCGACCAAAACTGTATACCTGAGATAAATCTAAAGATTCTACAATAATTCCAATTCCTGAAATAAGATTTGGATCCCCAAGTTTTCAGGATATTTATCATGGCTTTCGCTCGTTTTACAAAAACTAGGTAGATCAATGCATGCTTCCATCAACAATTGCAATTTCCATGTTGGATACCTATTTTTGACCCACACCCACATAGGGCAAGATCCACACCGTTCGGAATATGGGGTAGCTCGCAGCCTGCTCAAATATGCACTGAGTGTGGGCGGGGAACTTGTCAGCTAAGTAACAAAACTGCTGAAGGAATCCACGCACCAGTCATTCCCTTTGCACCGGCCATATTTTCGCTTACGAATTTGAAGGGACTATTGAGCTAGTCCTTTTGGGAACCCTGGTTTGGACAGCGCGCACGGGCTACAGCAATCTTGTCATCCTGCCCGCGCTGTTATCCAAGAACTCCCGACTGCCCCCTCTCCCATGCGCTGGTACTCCACAAGTCAAACAGCCTTGAAAGAAAGCAAGTGACTCATACTTCGGTTTCAAATGTAGAAACGCGTTGACACATGTCTAGGTCCTCCAGTAGAGAGGTTAGAATAAGGGTACCTTTTTTTTCTGTCTAACCCTCCCCAAAAAGAAAGGGTAACAGGGCATTACTGGGAAACCTAGATGTTGATTTTGACTAAGGACCAGTAAAACCTGCTAAGCGTCGTGCGCACTTTCTAACTCTTTGCCAGCTTGGATCTCCCCGTCGAACCGTCCGACGCCGGCTCCGATGTGGCGGCTGAAAATTATTTCGTAAGAGGCCAACTAGCGCCTGGTGCGGTGTGGGTCAAAGAAATCCGAGAGCAATGCCTCTGAATCATTGCCAACGCCATGAAGACGTACCGCGATTCTACCAATTGCCCGCTTTCAACCAAGGTACGTGTATACAGGGCCCCCCAAATTCCGGCCAATACGCAAATGTGTTGAAGATGATTTTAGTTTCTGAGTTGGTGGCCAGCATGGTCTTCCCAATAAGTCTGAAGTCCAAGAACTCAGGAAGTGAGTGATTGAAAGGGTCTGATAGCCCAAAGAATGCGGCATGCGCCACTGCTCGGCAGGGGCTACCTGTTGAGTTGGGGCCCAAAGACCTTCCAGCAGAACTTGCTGGTGCAACAGGCAGGGAATGAGGCAATGAGTCTTATAAACCATCCCTTGTGGTTTCCTTTAAGGGAACCCCCGGTTTCATTCCCTCATTCCCTGCCTGTCGCACCTGCAAGCGAAGCATCCTAAATTGGAAGATCCAGGCGCGCCGCACCAAGCGTGTTGCAAGCTACCGCGCTTGCACAGCTGAGACCTGAGCTGACACATGACACAATGACCCCCATAAGCCTTTTCTTGTGGTTTCCTTTAAGGGGACCAATTCCCAAAACCTGAAAGCCCGAAGGCTCAGTCCTTGCTGAGGTTCTCAGCAACTATAGCACTGGCCGTCTTAGATGCCAGGGAAGCTCCAAAGACCCCGACATGGAAGATTTACAGAGGCCAATTGGGGACGCTTCCGGCTGTTCGACTGAGGGAGCTGTGCCCTCCAATTTGTTCTTCAACTCGAACTGCTTTCTTTTCGCAGCCCTCTGAAGCTCCGCAAGTAAAGACCGCAAGCAGACTTGTGGTGCTGAATGCATTGTAACCCAAGGCATGACCTCACAACAAACCATTTGTATTAGTATATCATACGTATATATATATATATGTATGTGTATATGTATGTATATATATATATATATGTTTTCACACGTAGTATTAATACATATATATATATATCAAACATGTTCACTATGATTGTAGGAATCACTCTTACCATTTCATGATCTTCTTGTGATGTTTACCAGCAGACCGGCCGGCTTGATCATGAAGCCCAAGTTGCTCAGGGGCAATAGCACGGGACAAGTTCACCCAAGTTTTGGTTACGTAGCGGCACATAGCGACTTAGTTTGCAGCAGCGCACTGAACAATAAAGAAAGCAGAAAAGCGAGAAACGTGAGAAAAGTATCAGCGTCTCTGTAATTGGTGGTTTGGATTGGTGGTTTGGGGGTTGAGGGGTGGTTTCCCATTTGCCGTCTACAAACACCAATCCAAACCACCAACTAGGCCTTGCGTGAAGTATTCCTGAGCCGAAGCAAACCATCTGCAGTGTTGCGCAAAACAAATAGTCACTACTCTCCTCCAGGTTAACATGGAAGCTCCCGGCACCCGTTTTGGGGAGGCTAGATTCCATTTGCACAGGCCTTATTTGAAGCTGATTGGTGCAACAGTTGATGAGTTTGCCCAAGGCGGATCTGGAAATTCTGCCAGCTTGTCTGGCTAGTTGCTCCCAACCCTTGGATGGTCGACCCAGAGACAGGAAGTTGTCAATGCGTGCTGATCACAGCATATGGGTGTTCGTGTACATGCACATGCCTGCACGATGCGTTAATCTGCATCAAGTTTGCCAATGACAACACATTGTATGATAACACATTGTTTGGTAAACCGCTCACTGCTCAGGATGCTGCTGTGTGCCATCTTGAAATCTGCACACCTTCGGCAAATAAAAGCTGTTGATTGTGACACTGTTGTCAACTTAGTTTCATGTACAGCAGCAAAACGCACCAAATACTTGCTCACTTCTGGCAGTCTGCAGAAAGCTCTCAATATGATTCAGCCACCGGTTGTAATGAACCCCTTGACGCCTTGATACCCTTTCAGAACCACACTCCCAAAACAAAGCACCCTTTTGGAAACTAAGAAGCCTACACATGCCATTTACTCCGAATCCAACAATGCCTCATCTGTAGAGGAATCCTTTTGGGGACCCTTTTCCGAGAACAAATATATGAATGTCCAGCGCAGGAAATCAAGGCTCAACCATCGACGCGGCCTCAGCTTCTGGCTGCGGGTTTTGGCCCTGCCGCGCAGAAGGGGCAAGTAGACCCCGCCTTTGCGAGAGCTTGCGAGAGTTTGAGCAACACAGGCGATGAATATATATATATATATATATTATATATATATATATTTGGGGGGTGTCTTGACGTGTCTTTGTGCTTTTGTTGATGATCTTCAAGTAACTCAACAGAGACTGCGAAGCACTTCGTGTCCAACAATCTTGCCAGCAAGCTTTGACACACTGGCGGCACCGGGGAGAGGCACAAGTACCGGCCTTAGGGAGAGGAGCTTGGGTTGACTGTGGGTTGGGGGAGCTTCAGAGAGGGACTGCTTAACTCAGTCTCTACCCACCCAAAGCCGACAAGAGGAATGCTACAACAAGGATTATGAGCCGGCAGAAAATCTACCAGCAGACAACAGACGATAGGAACACTATGGGCAAAATTATCGAGACAATACGAGGCAACAGGAAGGCCATGGGAAGACCAACGAGAGACAACGAGACCACAAGAAGACTACAACGTGACTTTTAGACTAGAGGAAGGCTGAAGGACAGATTCATTCCAAGACTACAGTCAGAGTACGCGATTGATGCGGAAAACCTACATAAAGGCTACAAGCATGAGAAAAAAAAAACACGGAGAGATTAAAAGACTACAAGAAGACCACAGCAAGACCACAAACCGGGAAGACTCTGGGAAGACTGGACAGAGACTACAAGACCCGTAATTAAGAACCAGAGACTATAAAACTACAGGAAGACTTTGGAAAGCTGATGAGCATTGCTCCAGTGTCACTGTGCTTCTGGGAATTCCACCAAACGCGATAACTGAAGGAAGCAGCCTTTTGGAAACGAGATATCACCGAGGAAAGCTAGTAGGGCCATCTAAAACACCGTTTTGTGAAAGAAGCAGCATGTAGGTGAGCATGCAAGTCCCAGATCTGAAAGTCGGGCCATCTAAAACCACGTTTTGTAGAAGAAGCAGCGGCATTATGTGTGCAAGTCCCAGATCTTCTTCTCATCCTGGGAGCTGAGCCTCGGAGCCCTCGGAGCTGAGCCGCCGGGCCCGCCGAAAACACGCCTGGTGAAAAACGGCCTGGCACCTGGGCCGCGAAAAACGCCGCCGGATCAGCGAGCGGGTCGTGTGATTTGCGGTTTCTGGCTTTGGCGCGTGTCTTTGTGTGTTTTGAGGGTACTCTTTTTGGGGGTGTTTTTTTTTGGGGAGGACAAATCGAAAACCACCTCTTGGGTCCCGATGCCCCTATTCGATGCACATCCACTGGTTGCTCCAATGGAATAAACAGGTATCAACACAGCTGGACACCCAGCCAAGGTTTTCCGCCAAGGATGTGTTGTGAGCTGTTAAAACCTGAGCATCCCAATGAAACAGGCTTCTAGGTCCTCCAGTAGACAGGTTAGAATAAGGGTACCCTTTTTTCTGTAGTCTATTTTAGTAGGGGAACCCTCCCCCAAAAAAGAGTAAAAGGGCACTACTGGGGGACCTAGGGCTTATATATATAGCCATTCCCTCGCAATCGGAGCGCCTCATGAGGTGTGCACTCCTGTCAAACAAAAGGCTCCATCCCCATGCTGCGGAAAAAAACATGTCGAGACTCCACCTGAGTCACAATCAAAACCCGGTATTCAAATGGTCGTAATCCGAGAACTATGTAAAGAATTGAGAAGGCGGATATCCGCACCTATTTATGGCGGGGATTGTCCCTTACTGACCTTCTTCTAGCCGATTTTTGATTGTGGCTCACCTTGATGCATGTTTCAACCGCGGTGAGCAAACTGGCAACCATAGATCACGGTACATCCTCAGGCCCCACAAGTTCTTCCCAAAATTGTGGACCTCGAAAGCCCTATTTCAAAAGCAGCAGACACCCAAAATCACATCGTTCAGACTCAGAAGACACGCGCTGTTCATGAAGGTGTTGCTTTAGCAGCACCAGTCAATCGCGTGGATTCTTGCCAATGATGTAGCTTTGGAATGACTCCTTCAGCCTGTGTTTGGAGGCTTTCTGTGGGGTCGGGCTGAGGTGAGGTAGGGCTGCTTCTCGTCTTGGTCACTGCGTGCAAGTCGGACAGAAATCCTCTCAGATGCATATCTTGTCATACTTGGCCCACGTGGAGTGGATCGGGTCTCGAACCTAAAAACAGCCTTTTGGGGCTCGATTGCATATTGGTGCAGAGATCTTGTATTTCCGCTCGGATGAGAGACGGAATTGGGATGCTGGCAACAGCTGATCCCACGCTGCTTGAATCTTGGCAACTCGTATTTTTCTTAGCCAGGCTCGGACCATGTCATCGCACCCCCGGCTTGCCACACACTGTACTTTCTGATGCTATTTTTTCATCAGCTGTGGAGCCCTTAAGTGTGCGTTCTGCAAATCGGTCTGCCTTTGGCAGGCTTTTGCTTGCGGTGTAGCAGTCCTTCTGCGCTGGTGGTTTTTGCTTGCAAGTTTTGATTTTTTTACAAACCAACATGCTCAGGTTGAAGCAAAGTAGGTTTCCACCCACGGGCAGGTTTCTATGATTGCAGACTGCAAACACACAGCTAGCGGGAATCGTAATGGGACCTACCATTGGCACGGCCCCCCACACGCCGCGAAGATGTGTTAGATGACTGCTTTTTCGCTCTGCCCGGGGATTCCCTTCGTATCGCAGAACTTGGCAGATGCCCCAGTTTTCCACAAGGCCAGCCCTTTGAACCCTCGGCCGACTTGGCATGGACTAGGGCCCCAGGCTCACCGCACGCATGAAATGACGCTACCTGCGACGATAGAGCGGTGAGTCAGCATGAATCAGATACATCAGTCGAAAGAAGTGAAGCTCCAAGAAAGAAAGCAAGAGCTACAAAGGAGTTCGCAAGAGCACAGCAACGACAAACAAGCAGCACCATCGTTCAAAGCCGCAAAAACAATTGTAGCACTGTTGTAAAATCCAAAGAAGTGGGCGTGAGCCGCTTGGATGTTAACCACAAAGCCTGCCATCACCGAAATGACCGAAAGGAGTACTCTCTGCGGGCCCTTGTTCACAAGCTGATATTCTTCAACCGCTTCTCTCGGAAGTGCCACGCCTCTCTTCGAGCTGGACCGACCAGAAATTCCGGATAATTTATACAATAAATTTGCGAGGCAAACCCTTGTAGCAAGACTCTTGGTTCTGGTAACACCCAACTTGCGCTTACCTGTGAGCCCATCTTTCAAAGGGGGTAAAGCAAGGACGCACACTTTGGACGGTCGCTTGCTGACAAGAACAAGTGCTCTTTGACACAGCCCGTGTGCCATCCTGCTATCCAAAGAGAGAGAGAGAGAGAGGTAAAGACAAACAGTATGGACACATTTTGGCATATACTGGCAGCTAGCTGTTGTGGGCAGGATCATCGCGTCACATTTACACCTGTTATGTCGTTACTTTTCTGGGCCTCCGTTCAGCCCAAGACTCGACTTTTTGGAGCCTCTAATGGGTTTTGGCATTGGCAAAGGAGGACCTCATTTGGGCAAGGCGTGAACACCTCTGGGACCTCCATATCTGAGCAAATAAGTCTGCTTTTTGAGGGGAATATACATCATTCCGGCGTTCAAATTTATCTTCCAGGGGACATATGTAATAGTGCGCCAACAGGAATCAGCACAAAGCACACACCAAATAAGCAGGTCAATGTTGACATGCTGGATATATAGAACAGCTACGAGAACCCCTGGCTGACTGAGAACAGTGAAAGCTGGGGCACGTCCCGGAACATTTCCTACACACAGCTTTTACGCTGCTTTTCGTGGGGATGAATGTAACTCATCCCTTCCCTTCTAGGAAGGCTTGCGATCGCAATGCTCGGTAGTATGAAGACTAGGTCCTCCAGTAGCGAGGATAGAATAAGGGTACCCTTTTTGCTGTAGTCCATTGTAGTCGGGAACCCTCCCCCAAAAAGGGCAGAAGGGACCTAGAAGAAAATGCCACGTCGAACAGCCACTGATACAGCTCCGGAGCTAGAGCGGGGTGCGCAGCGATACCTTTCTACAAGTGAATGCTCTTGAAGGAATCTTCTGCGTTCGCCTCAAAGATCACCTCTGGAAGCTCTGTTCAATTTGACCTTTCAAAAAAGTTGATGCCAAAGTGTGCTGCGCCTGGTTCAAAAATAGGTCCCCAAATGGAACCCTGGTAAGTGGAGCCATGGACCACAACCTGCGGTCCATACCCTGGTTGTCTAAAATCAAACATCAAGAGGGTAGATCTTGCACGAATCTCTCCGTTTCTTCCCGCGTTCGCCTCACACATTACCCCTAGCTCTGTTCAATTTGACCTTTCAAGGTGTCTAGTGCCATGGATCAAAGCCTGCGGTCCATATCCTGGTGAGAAATGTTTTGACCCATAGTCATGTCTAAACCAAACATCGGGGAAATCTACGGACCCCCTCACTCACCCCACTCCTCTCTCGCCTCGAAGGGAAACACACGCTCGTTGGAGCCGCAAATGGGGCAGAAAGATGCCGAGGCAGCGCCTGAGCAAGCGACCAAAATTTCAAAAACGACGAACCTGACCTCGCTGGCCGTGACTTACTTTATTGAGGACCCCCCTTTTTTTTTTTCTTCTTTTTTTCGGTTGGTGTAAAAGGAAGCCAAAAGGAACCCAACTACTGTGGATGGTTGCGAAATCCATTTCGCATCACCTAAGAAGCCCTGGTTTGATTCCCTGTAAATACCAACAAACAATTGTTTCCCATGGTGTCTTGGGTGGTGCAGGATTTTGTCCATCCACAGTATTTTGTGGGTCTCAAAAGATGCACCCCCAAGTTACTGCAACAGCAATGGCAATGTCAAGTCTTGGCCCAACAGGACATGGGTCGAAACTCCGGTGATCTTTCAGTCCCATGTCAGTGACTCAGCTGCATGCGCAAACAAAACCGTTGGCCCGGGTGTACCCTCTTTTCCAAGTCCCCGACCTTCAACCCACACTGAAATGCAAAAGGCAAAATGTTGGACCCACGATTTCCAAGGAAGTCCTGGCTACATTGACCCGCACTGCGCGTGTGCGGCAACAATGCGCTATACTTCTTTGGCGGGTGTCCGAAGGCTCTCAAGCGGCGCGCAATGAACGCTTGCCCGTCGAGATCCCGGCAAGTCTCACAAGAGTGAATGTGCTTCGCGCAGGCCGCAACGCAGCCTCAGAGTGCAGCACTCTAAGGTGCATGCCGCGCGGAATCCATGCCGCGTATGCATCTAGGTCCTCCAGTAGAGAGGTTAGAATACGGGTACCCGATTTTTTTCTGTAGTCTATTTTAGTAGGGGAACCCTCCCCCCAACAAGGGTAAAAGGGCAACACTGGGGGACCTAGGCATGATCATTTTACCAAGCCGCGTGAGGGCCTCATGATCTTGCACCCAAGGTTCAAGGATAGACAAGGATAGACATGGGAACTGGGATCCATGGTCAAAGATTTCTCTTACTGGGACTGAGATCATGCCAGGCCTAAGCTGCAAGCGTACCAAATCTCGCGTATGCACAGCTTTTGAGGCCAGCCTTCCTGATGTTTATCCACACCCACACAAACACAAACACTCTGTCAGGGCGACACAAATGAGTAAGGCGACAAGTATTTGTGCTAAACAAACACACACTTTCCTCAAATGATATCAATCACCCTTGTTGGTCAACAGGAAAAGTGTGGTTGCCTGTTGGCGGATTGGCGGATGGCAGTGATGTGGCCTATGAACATACATCTGGCAAGTGCTTTGCTGACAAAGTAGTCTCTGGCGGGAGGGTCTCATCTGTACACGCAAATCCCACTGATGTGGCGATTTGCGGTTGAAACCACTCATCTCCGTGCACCCGGACGTCTCCGCAGGCACTAGTCCAAGTGGGGTCGGATCGCTCAGGTCCAGGCGGGAAATGTTCACATAGAGCGGACAGCTCCGCCCCTGCAGGTGGACTCGGATGAGGTCCTGACGTCGAGGCCGCCTTGGGCGGCCCGAGGCCAAGGCGCCCAAATGCTTCAAAGGAGCCGAGTGGGCTGTTGTACATGTTGGGATGTGGATCATGTCGCTACAGGCTTTTTAGAGTCAAGCCCCTCCCCTACACTACAACTCCCATGTGTAAACATCTACTGCCTATAAACCGCACGGCAGTTGATTTGAAGGAATACCCAAAGGACAGCCAACATTTTGTGGTTTCCCCTATTTGGAGGCGTGGGGAAGTGCCTGGAACATTCTCTTGCCCAATGGCGCCTGCATTGCGTAGAACTCGTGCCCGCGGGCCACGTGTGCATCCAACTGCCAGGATTGCGGTGGAGCCATGTTCGATGCTTCAAGTCGCACGTGCCCCGACATGGGCATGGGGCAAAATTGAACCACTAGGGGACCGCTGGTTTAGTGCTTATCTCCATTTACCAGGCAGTGGAGCTAAGCAGTGGAGCTAAGTCCCCGTGACTCAATCAGTGGAGCTCAACCTGGTCGGAAACCAGGTCCTCCAGATTTGAGAGGTTAGAATAAGGGTACCCATTTTTTTCTGTAGTCTATTTTAGTAGGGGAACCCTCCCCCAAAATGGGTAAGAGGGCACTCGGGGACCTAGGAAATAGTGCACAACAAGGGGCGCTCATAGCGTGACTGCAGGACTCAATGTACCAGCGGGTCATGGGGGCATGCCCCAAGCTTTGACCAGGCAAGTTAACAGTCGAGAGTACTCTGGTGCCTAGCTGAAATAACAGCTTTCAGTTTCATAGTTGTTCTTTTCCCGGCGTGGTTGTTGGGAGGTTTGTCGATTGCCTCCCCAAGCTACAAATTGTGTGTAAGACCGCATATAGGATAACATCATGTGACGGATCAACATCTCCGTACACGCAAAAGCAACAGGCCCTTTACACCATTGGTTTCGGCTACTCCTTCCATGTGGCTCCCTTGCATAGCTGATGTGCGCAACTTGCAGAACTTGGAAAACCATGGCTCTTCGACAACTTCTGAACGTTCGATATCTGTCTTCTCACCTCAACTGCGAATAGCTCACATGGCCTGTTCACAATTGCTTACAATTCTTCTCAGCCTGCAGCTAGCGCACAAAGTGCAAACCTTCACTATCCTGCATCACAGCAGGAACAACGCCTCGTAAGGCAGGACACACCGACTCACCCAACAAGATCCGCTAATAAGACAGGCATAATATGAAAGCCAGGCAAAATACTGACTAACGTGTTTATCACACCACGCAACAAGCAACATGAGTCAACAAGTTAGTTCCAAAAGCCTCCCAAAACCAGTGCGCCCAATCTGTTGAAACAATTGCAATGGTCTTTGCCACGTATAAATCTGCGCCGTGCCGTGTCCGACATGCATCTGAACGAATACTTGGATCACTTTCCCCCTGCAAGTTCTCCGTTGAAAACAGCATGCCTGTGCGCAATACTAGCTTTCCTTCGCTTTTTGTCTAAGAAGCATGGCCGGAAATCTGTGACGAGCGTTTCTCCAAGCTCTAGACAACTGGGTTGTCACTTTTCAAATCCCCAGCCTGAAAGTTTTGGTTGAATGGAACCCCCCCCCAACTACACCGCAAAAAAACGGAGAAAAACAAACAAGAAAAGGATGGCTGGGAGCCACCGAGCTTCGACAACACCGGCACAGAAACGACACCACCTCCTCTCATCCGGTGCCCGTGTCATTCGCCTGAGAGAGGAAGGCCTGCAGCTGGTGCTGGAAGTCGCAGCCTGAGGTGGTCAGCATCTCCCGGATCTTCGTGAGCTTCTGACCTGATGCGGCGTTGCCGCTCGTGGCCTGGTGGTGTCCGTTTTGGTTGAAAAATAGTGGACAAATCGAGGGCGATTCCTGGGTTACCTGGTGGTTCAAAACCACCAAACTTTGGATTTTACTTTTACTTATCTTTTAAACGATCTCAGTATTCAATCAAGTACCAGGGAAACCCATCTAGTTTTTCCCAAAAAGGGCATGCCCGGTGGCCTGGTGGCCCCGAAGACGAAGACTCAGAACTTTAGACCCAGACACCCGAAAGGAACGGATCTAGCCATGCACCTTTCCAGGGATCCTCTTCAAGCCATCATGCTGTCAAAGAACCTTGCGCGCGATGTGTTCAATTGAACATGCCGAATGCGTGCACATCAAAGCGATCAGTACAGGCTATTTGAACAGGTGCAACTGTACAACTGGTGCACCGCAGTCTGCGTGCCGAATTGTCTCGTGGTTGCAGAGCAGTGGGCACACAAACAAGGTGTTGCATGCCATGGGTTCATGAACATGCTTCAACTGGAAGCAAAAACACATTCCCTTCACCTTGCAAAGAGATGCACGTCTGCGCATCTAATGCTCCTAAAGCCAGCTACCAGTGGATGACTAAGTTACAGGAACCCAATGTACCCAATCCCTTCACTGCTTGTTCGTACCGGGCGCCCGGCGATTCATGTGAATCTCAGTCAGGATCTCTTGCGAGGATGCCTGTGCCCCACTCCGACAGTGTGACAATCCCGACGGCAGGTATGCAAGCACCCGGTTGCAACCAGCGACCCCAGTAGAAAAGAGGAACCCTTCAAAGGGGCTCACCATCTGTAGCGGAGCTCGTAAGAAACAAGATTGGCAAACTGATGCCACTGAAAAACAGGGTATGTTTTTTGAATGAATCGCCATTGCGTGCTCCCCCCTTCTCATTTCCGAAAAGGGGCCTCGGCTCGCACTTCGTCATGTCCCTCATGTTCCTCACACTATTCCCAAAAGACGGGTTGAACGTGTTGATCGCGTTGAATTTGACCCAGGTTGTCACCTATACGCAAGATTGCATTCATGTGGGTGTGATCTTAAAAGCAGGGAACCCAAAAAATGGCTTTCGCTTCCCTGTGGTTTCCCTTGCAACTCCAAAAGAGTAGCCTCGAAGAACAAGGTCCCATGTCACAAGCACCATTAGCATCCAAGGTGCTAGGTCCTAAGCGAAGTCCCAAAGTTGCTTCAAAACCTCTGGGTCGAACACTTTTCTTGCGGATCCATTTCCATTCTTTCCAGGGATCCTTTCAGAAAACCAGAATCCAAGGTGACAAACAGATCCGCTTTTTCGAGAAAAGAACGATGCTTGAACCGAATGGACAAGGAGTCAACCCCTAGAATTTAGGGGACCAAAACCAACCCATGGCAGGAGGTTTTTGTCGAGTCCTTTGGTCCCAAGTCCAAGCCTTGGTGCGGCGAATGCTGGTGATGGGAACCAAGGGCTGGTTCACTTGGAGATCCAGGTACTTCGCCACCACGTGGCACACCTGCGGCATAAAGAACAAAAAACGACTTGAAAATGGTCGTAATCCCAGAACCATGCTTCAAGAATTAAGAAGGCGGATATCCGCAGCTATCTGACCTGAGGGTAGTTTGATGACTTACACCAATATCAAGGAACTGAGGGATTCGCCAGAAGAAAGCCAACGACCTCAATGTTTGGTGCGTGACGCCTGTGGGAAACTTACACCTTCATTTGCGTCTTGGCGGCAAGCCAACGACTTTTCCCCACGGCCACTACAATCTAAACGCCTACTGAGCTGGAAGGAGAAGGCAAGTCTTGTCGTTGGCAAGCAACACCTGCCACTGAATCGATGTTGTAAAGCAATCGACCAGCTGTGACTAGCCTTTCTACATGTTCTGCCTCATATCAAGATCATGTGTATGCTCTGTGACAGTGGCTGGGTGTTTGTTGCCAAAGTGTTCCACTCTTGAACTCTGTAATCTGGGGCATCCAGTGGATTCCTTTCCATGGTCGTTGTTCTTGATCTCCTGGTAGACTGGTTGGATTAGAGACCACAAAGGACTTGCCCACAGGAGGGAGAGATGACGACGAATGATGGCGCTCAGCAATATGCTATGGGCATCTTTTTATCCGTGTCTTCGTCATAAAGATCAATCAGTGCGAATGCACCCACCTCTTCAATGAATTCCCTTACACTGGTAAAAGGATAAACACACATTCACACCAAAGCAATCAGAGACCTTGCACAACATGATGACACCATTGTGATACTCACGCAAGAATCAAACACCGGAAGCTCCTACACACTACATACGCAATTTCTAAACTCTCTGTGCCCCTCTACATAACTAGATCCTCCAGTTCAGTGGAGAGGTTAGAATCAGGGTACCCTTTTTTCTGTAGTCCATTTTAGTAGGGGAACCCTCCCAGCCAAAAAAGGGGTGAGAAAGGGCACTACTGGGGGACCTAGATAAAGATCTACGCACACATAGAGGGCATTATGGTCTCGGCCCCGAGATTTGGATAGTGGTTTTGGACTAGATAAACACGACCCTGGCTTCATACCTTCCCCATTCTTTCCAGGGATCCTTCTTTCTGGGAAACCTCCAGAAACCCAGGGAAACGGCCGGTTTTTGGAAAGAACGATGGCTGAAAAGAATGGGGAATCAACCCCTAGAATAGTCACTCAACAAAACTCTTGATAGCTCCTCAAGAGAAGACACCCGTACGGTTGCTCATGCGAAAGAACTCACTTAATGCCCGAGCCAGGCCACTCGCAAATGAGCCACGGTCAAACTGTGCAATTCTGGAAATGCACATATGGACCTGTGGATGTCTTTCTTTCATGGTACCCCTTTTTGGGTTGGTTTAAATGGAAAACCAAAAGGACCACCATCATTGCGGAGGTCCTTCAAACAAAAACGAGCCATATATAGGAACATGAGATGAGTCGTGAGTCCCGGCGGTTTTTGTGGAGTGCCCTGCACGTCCCCAAATTGACACCATTCGGCGGACATTCATCCCCATGTAAATGGTGTACCAAAGGTTCCGACAAGGATGGTCCAAACAGGATTCGCTGGGGACAGGATTCATGTCCAATGGTGTCTTCATTCTATGGTCCCCTATCTGGTAGCTCATGTCCAAACAGGAATCACTGGTGGCTTGGGGTAAATGTGAAGCTTGGTCCGCACATGCGTATCGAGCAATTTGCACCCACATGCGCCACATGCCATGGTCATACTTCTCTGCATATCAATCCTGATCATGGCTGTCTACATCTCTATTGACAGCCCGACCATCTACAAGACCGGGTGGAAAGCCAGTGTCGGAATGCATGGAAGACCAAGTTGCAAAAGGATTTGTTTTGATGGACACTCAGCTTTGGACTGGATCAAGCTAAACCTTCACGTTTTGCACATGGCATGCGTTCGCCTCCCGCCTCGCCGCAAACCTCACCAAAAAGAAACGCGCGTTAAAGAAACGCAACGCGCGCCTTGCGTGGCTCGAAGTCCCAGCGCTCTGCCACCCGGGCAGGGATCACGCGGATGTCCCCCAGGTGGCACTTGGTGCAGAAGACGAGGCCCAGGTAGTGGCAGTACCTCAAGGAAAAAGAACGAGGGATAACGGTTCTGGGGTGGTTTTACTGTGATTATTGGTGTTTTCCCGGGAAACCAAAAAACAAAACACAGAAAAAAGGAGACCCTCAAAAAACATAAGCGCACGTACACTCAAATGGCTATGATTTTTTGAGGGGTCTGTAACGCGCGACGCGCCACGAATCTTGTTACTGAGGTCTGTAACGGAGGTCCTTGTTAAGCAGTATCAGTAGAACAATGTAGCGCAGCACAACGAGGTATGTATTGGCTACGTAACGAGGTCTGTAACGAGGCAAAGCAAAGCGCAGGACGCAAAGCGCTCCCACGCAGCTCCAGCTTGATTGCAGCTACTCAACGCAAGCCAAGCTGCGACAAAAAACAGGGTCGCTGGCCCGGGCTGGGGTTGGGTCTGTAACGAGGTATGTAACGGCTATGTAACGAGGTCTGTAATGAGGCAAAGCGAAGCGCAGTACGCAAAGCGCGCCTCCGCAGCACCAGCTTGCTTGCAGCTATTCAACGCAAGCCAAGCTGCGGCAAAAAGAGGGCAGTCACGTCACTGGCCCGGTTTGTTCATCTGAGGTGTGTAACGAGGGTGTGTAACGAGGGTGGGTAACGAGGGGTGTGTAACGAGGGGTGTGTAACGAGCCAGCTGGTCTTGTTACAGAGGTCTGTAACGAGGTCGGTAACGAATGTCCGCCGCGGCTCTGTTACAGACCCCTCAAAAATATCACTGCCAAATAGAGGTTCTGGACAACAAAGGGAAGTGATCCGTCCCCTTTGCGTTTCCGGTTTTGGGAGAACCAGGAATTCTTGAAATCATATTGGCGATTTGACACCCAAAGAGTGGCTGATTGCCGGGCAGCTGGCCCATCTCCGAGAGGATTACATTTTCTAGTTGGGTTTGGTGGTAAAACTGGGGTCATTATTTTTTATGATTTCTGGGGGGTATCAAAGTCAGAAAATGGGGTCGTTTCCGTTTAACCCACCACTTAGAGGGTGACCTTTTACCATGGCAAAACAATGAGGCATGGATCCGCTTTCTGCTCGGCTCAAAGCTCCGCGTTTCTCTCGGCTCCAAACACTTAGCTTTGCCAAGCAGGAAACTGAGATGTAGCACTCCACAACCATCCCGGGACTCCTCTCAAATGGCCATGGGTCAAAAGCTCGGTTAGCCCCCAGTGAACATCCCAATCCCAACTAAAATAGACTAAAATGGGTGGTGCACCTACCCCAAAATGGTACCATTGGTTTTGACAACCGCAGCCAAATAGAGGCGTGGCTCAGAAAGATCTCCCATGACAACTTGCCCTGAAGAGGGCAAGCCAAATGGCTGTGGGTCAAAAATAGGTACCCAGAATGGCGAATGGAAACAATGGCGAACGCCGGTCCCCTAGTTGTTTCATTTTGACCCATACCCAAATAGGGATATCTTTGCCCATCGAGGACTTCGCAACATGGCGGCCTCTTGTTTCTGCTCGAAAGATGAATAAACATGAAAGCTGGCTTCCCCAAAGCGGGGCATTGACTCGTCAGCTCCGTCTCCATGCGCTTCGCGCCTGGGTTGCTGGAAGAGCGAAGAGGAGAGGCGCCGCTGGCAGCCAAGACAAAGGCCCTGCTGCCTCATCACCTGCATCTGGATCGGAAAAAAGGCGCAGATCCCCACGGAAAAAACTCCCGCTACGGCAGAAATAACCTAATTCTTGGAGTATGGAGCCAAGCAAAGGGCAAGGAGGCTGTTTGGGATTCAGCCATCTGATCCCCACCTGGGCTGCCCGTTTTCAGATCCCCTACTAAAAGTGAATAACTTTTAGTGGCTTGAATGGAAACTACCACTAAACACTAAACAGCTAAAAGGCTAAGGAACCGGATGACTCCCTCTATGCCAGAAATGACTTAATTTGGAATATGGAGCCCTGCGAATGGCCAAGAGGCTGTTTGCATTGGACAAAAAATTGCGGCAACACGCCGTGACTCCGCATCTTGGGAAGGAACTCTCAAAAAGTCTTGGCAAGCTGGTGGCAAAATGACGTGGCCTGGCGAGGAGCTTCTTGGACTTACCAGCGGTACACATGTACATTTCCATTGGCGCACTGAAGCAACTATTTGACGCAAGGATCATGTAGGTCCAACAATTCTTGCGGCATGTTTTTTTTTTTTGCAAAAGCCATGGTCACCACAATACGCATCCCAAAAGGTGGCAAGGCCAAAGACTTTCAGTGCATCCAATGCAGGTGGGAAGCCAACAGACCTTGTAAGATATGATCGTATTGCATCTTTCCGATTTGTTCCCTCACATGCGACCGTTAGCAGCTGTTGGGTAACTTTGCAAAGATCTGCACATTTTACTTTAACTCCAGAAGCTGAATTAAGAATTGGATCCCCAAGTAAAGGACCTTTGTCATGTTATACCCCCAAATCGGCTTTCGCTCGCTAGAAAATAGGCAGCCCGGGCTCTCTGGACAAAGCTTTTTCTCCGCTCTCGGATTTCATGATCCAAATCAAGGTTCGACGAGGCCTTTCATCAGAAGTCAAGGCCTCTCAACGTGCTTCAGATGGCCATGGGTCAAAATCCAAATCGTACCCCCAGTGAACATCCCAATCCCCACATGGGTGGTGACCCTCAAATGGGATCCCATTGGTTTTGACAAACACAGCCAGATTGGCGAATCTAAAACACAGAAACCAAATTGCCCCTCTCTTTGAACAATGTACTACATAGTCAGCTCCGTCAAAGAAGTTCCCCTTTCATGTGCTGCTTCCACTTGCTTAAGCCCCATGAAAAAAAATATAAATATTTCCAGTAGTGATAGATTCCCTTTGAAACCAACCGGGGAAGTGACACATATTCTAGGTCCTCCAGTAGAGAGGTTAGAATAAGGGTACCCCTTTTTCTGTAGTCTGGTAGGGAACCTTCCCCAAAAAAAGGTAAATGGGCACTACTGGGGGACCTAGTATCGAGCAAGTGGAGGTCTTTCGACCTAGCTTTCAAAAGTCTGCATGGGGTTACAGCAAATTTTGGACAAACGAACAAGCGGGCATACGGAGGGAGCGAGGGTTTTGGGGGCAATTCCCTTGGCTTTCCCATTTCCCATACCGAGCTTAGTCCAGGTGCATCAAACGGGGGAATCCTCCCATATCCCTTCCCCCCGTATCCCTGCGAGTTGGTCCCTGAACATTTTGGCTTGAAACCCATCGCCACGGAAGCCCACGAGCATCAGCATGCCGACTCCGTTTAAAACGGCAAAAACTTTCCGAGGACATGGCGAGAAGTCTTTAAGGGCCGGTGGGGAAAATTCCATCGCGTTCGGAGTTGTGTGGCAAACCAGAATATGAAAGGAAGGTTCCAAGTCCAACTATAGCAGAGATTGACACCTTACCATGTATGAATATCAACAATATACGCATCAACTTCCAATTGCCAACTTCCTCCCCCTCCCTCAAAAAAGCAATCACCTGGAGCATGCCCAACGGGTGCCTGCACATCTTTGGGCAGGCGCGTGTGCATGCGCAGCCTCCACTCCAGGTGAACCTGAGCCGGAAAAACCCTTGCGAGGAAAGAGAACCTGTCCGGAGAAAAAACAAAGTAGCGAAAGGGGGTTTCGCCGCATCCCAATCCCAAAGCGAGGCAAATGGCTGGGGGTCAAAACCAAGGGGATCCCATTTTGGGACAGGTGCACCACCCATTTTAGAACCTATTTTAGTGGTTGGATTGGGATGTTCACTGAGGTTACGATTTGGCTTTTGGCCCATGGCCAAATTCACATCCCATCTCATCCCAATCCCAATTCCAAGGGGTTGGCCAATCGACGTAGAACATGAAATCACTGCGACGGTCAACTCGCGTACCTTCCCCCAGACTAACATGGAAGCTCCCAGGACCCCGAAATGGAAGACTTGGTTTCCATTTACAGGATCGACCTTCCGGGAGCTTCCATGTTAGTGTGAGGGAGTGTGGCAAGTTTCTTGCATCTGTGCCACTGTGCTGCTTGGCTCTATAAAACTGTCACTTGCCCCCATGGTCAGAGACAAATGGAGAAGTCCTCAAGCGACCTTCTCATGCGCACCAATGAGCCCCAGTCAGTACATCATCCATGGCGGACCTCCTTGGGTGACAGATTCGGAGGGAATCAAGTCAATGCCATTGTGTGTGATGATATGCCTTTCATGAGATCCCCTGATCATAACTATTTGACTGTTTGAAGGGAGACTTTGGTCATTGATCATCACCTTGGATGTGTGGATTGAACATGCTATTCTGAAATGCAAGGATTCCTAAATCTGTCGGCTTCAAAGACTGGGAGGAGCTGAGGAAGTGAAGTCAATGTCAAAGGCCAGCAACATCCAGCCTTCTACAGGTTGGCCGACTCGAGTCGCAATCAAAACCTGGTACTAAAATGGTCTACCCAGAACCATGCTTCAAGAATTAATACGGCGGATATCCGCAGCTATTTATGGCAAGGGGATCGTCCCTTACTATCCTTCATCAATCCCCGGGTTTTGAGCAAGTGGCTCACTTGACATCCAATGTTGATTGAACATTCTGGGCATTGTTCCCTCCCAATGGCCAAATCAAGATGCATTGCTACTTTGTGAGCATGCCAGGAAACACATGGTGGCACAAATTGCTGGAATCTGTCCCAAAATGACTGATCAAGCAATCTGGCCTTCTACGGATCATGCAACAGCTCGAGGGGTAGAAATCAGTCATGGAAAGCCGCTTGAGGTCGTCAGGATTGTCGAACATGGCCAGTGTCACATCACTTTGGCAAAGCAAAGAGCTGCTCCAGGATTGCATTGGTAACTCATTGGCATCGAAGGCGTCTTCCCGCGTGACCAAACATCAGGCGGAGGAAAAAAACGCCGGCATAGCAAGTAACCACGCCAGCAAACACAGCTTTCACAGCCGAGCATTTGCTAGTGCAGGCTTATTGGGGAAGTCATAACAGGAGCATGCAATGCGGAATCAACCATGAAGGAAGCATCCGTCCACTAATGAGCCCTCCTGCATAGCATGGATCAAACATGCGAAATTGCCTTCCGGGCAGAGAACTCTCGGGTTTGTGGTGGGACCCTGGGAAGCGTATTAGGCAAACAGGAGGGGGATGTGTCTGGGGCCGCCGAACATACGCCAGGAAATAGGGTATAGGTGGCCGTGCAACAAAGAACATGCCGGATCTCAAAGCTACCTTCAATGAGCTTCTGTCCTAAGGAGCAACATTTGCACATCTCTGTCGCAAGGTGTTCCACACATCGAAGCAACATACAGGGATCCGACGTGACTTCCGCGTTCGAGGGATGAGGAGGAGACGAAGGTCTCCCGTCCGAGGGCCCCGCGCCGTTGCCCAACTCCTGAGGAGCACAGCCAAGGACCAGCTCGCTTGGCAGTTGGGATGTTGGGATGTTGCTGGCCAGTGCTACACAGCATCCGGAAGGGGGACAAACGATGTTGCGGCAACATGGCAGCTGCGAAATCCTGTGGGGCTGGTCGAAGGGCCTCTTTAAATGTGGGTCTGTGAGGGGCGGCATTGTGGCAGCTGCGATCAAAGCCACGCCCAAGGCTCATGAGCCTTGGAATCTCAATGACACAAAGCACATCACTGGTCAAAGGAAGGATGGGGGACGTGCAAAGACAACCCGCTCTATTCAACCATGTTGCAAAATTCAGAGCCCATTGAAGCCACCAGCGCCGGGTCCAATCGTTAAATCATTGAAACTTGGGAGGACACCATGTGAAGCCATTGCTAGTTGTGAACATGTCGGCTCACACCAAGATGCAACGAGCAAATCAAGCCGAAAGCGCTTGATCCCACCTGGGGGGCATAGCTGGAGCTTGAGACCTAAGATGTGGCCGGCGGATCTGCGACTGGCTGGTTGCACCTGACCCTGATGGCCCCCCTTTCCATATGCCAGCATGAGCACCACAGTTGCTGGTCTTGCTCCATGTCAAAATAAACACTTATGAAAAGCAGAACTAAACTTGTTTCAACGTACTTGTGTGTGTGTGTGTGGGTGGGTGGGCGGGTGGGTGGGTGGGTGCTTGTCACAGTGTCCGTGTCCGTGTTTGTGCGTTTGTTTCTTTGTGTGTGCGTGTGCGCGCGCGAGTTTGTCTCTGTCTGTGTCCGTGTCTGAGTGTGTCTGTGTCCTTGTCCGCGTCTGAGTGTCTGCATGTGCGTTCAAAATCAACATCTCAAGTGATTTAGCGATTTTCCGTTGAACAATCAATCAAAAGCCATTCAAAAGGGCGCAATCCCCAAGAAAGTGAGTCACATAAACCAAAGTGCGGAGTAGGAAGTCTCGCCTGGGTGCCCGGCAGATCCTGAATGCTCGGAGTTGCTGTCGGAGTCCTGGGAGAAACTCGACTGATTTGGCAAGTTGCCCGTAGCGTCAGTTGTTGGCGTCGCATTCTAGGCTTGTTTCACTTGCTGCTGCGATAGGGAATGACCGTTCTCGTTGTTGGGAATGAACCGTTTGGGGATTCCCTTCAGGGATCCCACAAGGGATTGTTTATAGGGTCCTTCCCTCATGCCCGGCTGACCAGCAAGTTAACGGAAGTCAAAAGGGACACCGCCCACTTTTGGAGGTTTTCAGGCCTTCCATCGGACTTGCTCAACTTATGTATCTGTCAATTGGCTGATCTGACCTGCTTGGATGGGATAAGAGCTTCCCGTACTCTTAAACCTGCACGAAACATGAGGCTTCAATCTGTCTAACGTGAAGGAGGATTCTTTTGCTGCATGCAACATAGCTTGAAACTAGCTTGCATGGACAACAACTGAACACGTGCCTGAGTTTGCGGCTGTCCTGCTGTGCAAACATTTTAGAACTGTGGCAATGCCATACGCACATCATGTTCAGCATGGACTGGCTCTGGTATTCTTAGTATGAAACATTGAATTTGTATCCATAGTTTTTTCCAAACCAAGGATGCCCCCCTGCCGAATCCGCGAACTGCTGCGGGCCAATGCTCAAGCAAGTATGTCTAAACCGGCCAAGCCTCCATGCTGAGGACACGGGTCTCTACGACATTAATCCAGGTTTGCCACCCAGCAAGACTCTAGGCTTCCAGGCGGAAAATTTCACCGGAGAGACGGGAACCGCAAGCTGACAAACCCAGAGAGATAGAAACCAAGGTGTGGGTCAAAACCCTGGCACCCCCCAAATTCCCCCAGGTTCCCTTGAATGGACCCAAGGGGGGGTTACCCCTGAAACGGTATTTGGGTTTTGACCCACCTAGAAACCCAAGCGCTGATTGCGGTCTTGGGAATGCACATTTCACTTGTGCCCAGTGCCGTTTTCTCAAAGGAAATGCACCATGACAACTCGCCACCATTCTAGGGGTTGACTCCTTGTCCATTCTTTTCAACCATGGTTCTTTCCAAAAACCGGCCGTTTCTTTGGGTTTCTGGAGGTTTCCTAGAAAGAAGGATCCCTGGAAAGAATGGGGAAGGTACCCCTAGAACCATTCCTGAGTAACCCTCAAAACAGCGGCAGAGGATTCGAGGATTCAAACATCGGTTCAGCTTGTTTGAGCGGCTTGGGCAGCTCAAACCCACAAGCTCAGCTGCAAGCACAGGAAGAAGCGCTTCGAAGAGGCCTAGGGCGAATGCGTCCCGTGCGGCCAAAGGGGAATGGGAGCCCTAATGAGGCAAGTTGGAACCCTATGTTTGAGTCAAATAGTAAAAACCAATTGTAAAGGGATCTTCAAAAAATGGGTTCGGAACATGTTCAACATCTTGAAGATGTTCAAGGAACAATCAAAAGGCTGAATCAAGTTCCACCAGCGATCTCATCTTACGCAGATCCCAGATGCAAGCAAGACATTGCCCGTTGGATATGTTTTATTTGAATCTGCGCAACAGAAACCAAGCATGACACACAACTTTATCTTGGGGAAGCCAAGAGCAATGTGTCCCAAGAGTCAACGCTTGAAAAACACCTTTCGGGAAACGTCTCCGGCTGCTTGTGGCCCGGAGTGGCCGTAGTGTCAAAGATGAACCGGCGTTTCATGCAACTTGGGGCAGCTCCCAAGCTCCAGTCAACAAACAACACAACTCTCTTAGGAGTTTGGGCGTGGCAGTTTCGCGCTTCAGCATTCCATAGGTTCTTAGACCAAACACCGGACGAGGGTGTGGGGCAAAGAGTGGAATGGGAAGCCTTAAGGCCTGAAACCCACATGGAGAGCTTGACGACCATGGCTCAGCTGAGTGTCACATGCAAGCCCGGAGTGAAGCCTGAAAAACCCAAGTCGTCTTGGACTAAATGGGGCCTTGAGCTGCTGCGATCAAGATCAGTTCAGTAGGACAATCAGAACTGCACAGGGGCGTGTCCACAAAAATGGCGGTCGTCCCTTTGCTTTCCCTCTAAAGCAACCCCGAAAGGGAACCCTCAGAAAAAGACACCACATGAATTTCCAGATACTCCCATCCTTTTGGGCGTGATTTTTCTCACGCCCGTTTTGAAAGTGCTTTTTCGGAAAGAGGGCAAGGGGCGAAAGAGCCACCAAACAAAAGTCAATAACGTGATGGCTTTTGGCCGGTAGCCAGAAGTTTTCTCAGACCAGAAACAAGCTTTTAAGCACATGTACCTTGAATTCCGGTCTGCCACTGCCGCATTTGACATCTCTAGCATTCGACTAAATATCCAGCAGACATCTGCAATTATTACTATATTTCTAAAAATTGACGTAAGGTAAAGGACCTTTAGCATGCTGAGCTCGTTATACCCCCAGGTGAGCTCGCTGCAAAATAGGCAGAGACACGAAGGGAACTCTTCGCTCATTGCTCAATGCTCGCTGAGCTCCTGGCAGGATGCCTACGCCTGGCGATCCAAAAAACATCCGCACAAAGAGAGTCTTCTGAACTCTGGGCTTAGGGTCCTCATGATGCTCGTCCTGATCCCCATGTTCGTAATCATGTGCATGTTCATTTTAAGGCAGTTTCATGCAGATGTTGGTGTTCATCTTCCTATTCACAATGAACAGTGTCAGCCATCACCATGGTATGCGCTCGCCATGCCTCCGACCTGTGAAGAGTAAATTGATCCAGACCCGCTTCTACATGCTCTGCTGACATGGACAGGTACAAGTTTGCTCGCTTGGTTCCTCTAGATCATCCCAGTTTGGAGAAGCGCCTATCAAAATCAGTGAGTTCCTAGAATAGATATATCGGGAAACATGCTCATTCACGACTTGATGAATCTTCCTGGCAGGAACTGGGACTGGCAGCTACCCGCCCCAAAGCCGCCCATTCAAGCCTGGGTGAGGAGACGACTCCTGGGCAGTGCGGCCAAGTGGGTCGGTGAGAACTGACACTGCTGTGAACATGAACCGCTACAAGCTACAAACCACATACATCTGATGGGGCAAAGTATCATTGTGGAATGCGGCCAGCACAAGGGTAATCACACATCCTGTGGAATCCTGCAAACTAATTCAAGCTCACCATGAAATCAGGAGTACCATGGTCGAAACGTCTGGTCATCATGCTGATGCTTCTCTCAACAGAACCTTTTGAGGGCAGCTCACATCTACGCAAAGG